TGGAAATTCTTGTTCTCATCACTGAATATTTTTTATATTGCATTCTTGCTCTTCTTTTGGGACTGCAACTGCTCATACTGTTAGCCTCTCTATCACATATTGTACTTGTCTCTTACCTGCTTTTCTCTTTAATCTTTTCCTCTGTAATCTGGAGTCTGGATGAGTTATTCTATTCTATTTTTGCGGTGTGCTCATACTCTTTTTTTTTCTAAATTAATAGTTTTGGAATTTTATTTTTTCTAGTTTTGTTGAGCTAAAACTGACATATAACAAGGTATTATTAAGCTGTACAATGTAATCATTTGACATATGTGTATACTGTGAAAAAATTGTCCCATTTTTGTTAGCGCCCACCACCTCATATAGTTACAATTAGTTCTTGCAATGAAAGCTTTTAAGATCTACTCTTTTAGCAACTTTCAGATATAAAATGCAATATTGTTAACTATAGTCACCATGTTGCACATTACATGCCCAGGACTTATTTATTTTATGAGTGGTAGTTTGTATGTTTTGACCCCAAACCCCCATAGCCTGCTTCTAGCAACCACCAAACTGTTCTCTGTTTCTGAGTTCAGTATTTTTTTTTTTAGATTCCATATATAAGTGAGATTATACAGTATTCATTTTTCTCTGACTTATATGTATCTATACACACACACATATGTATGTATATATTTGTATATCTTCTTTGCAAAATTGTCTATCAGCTCTTCTGTTCATTTAAAAATATTTTTTTGCACTATTGAGTTATATATTGAGTGTTATACATATTTTGGATATTAACCCCTTACCAGGTACATGATTTGCAAATAATCTTCTCCCATTCTATAGGTTGTCTTCTGAATTTGTTGATGGTTTCCTTTGCTGTGCAGAAGCATTTTAATTTGAAGTAGTCTTACTTGTTAATTTTTGGTTTTAATGTCTTTGTTTTTGGTTACAAATCCAAAAACCCATTGCTAAGACTTATGTCAAGGAGCTTAACCCCTATGTTTTCTTCTAGGAGTTTTATGGCTTCAGATTTTATATTCAAATCTTTAATCCATTTTGAGTTGATTTTTGTCCAGTTTCATTCTTTGACATGTGCCTGTCCAGTTTTGCCAGCACCATTTGTTGAGGAGACAATTCTTTCCGCATTGTACATTCTTGACTCCCTTGTCATTAATTAATTGACCATGTTTGCATGGGTTTATTTCTGGGATTTCTATCCTGTTCCTTTGATTTTTGTGTCTTGTATGCCAGTACATACTGTTTTTATACAGCTTTATAGTATAGTTTGAAATCAGGAGGTGTGATGTCTCCAGCTTTGTTCCTCTTTCTCAAGATTGCTTTGGCTATTCCATGGTCTTTCGTGGTTCCATACCTAATTTAGGATCCCTTTTATTTACTTTTTCTGTCTAATTGCTCTGGCTAGCACTTCTAGCAGTGTATACAAGTGGTAAGAGTGAGCATTCTTGTCTTGTTTCTGATCTTTTCATTGTTGAGTATAATGTTAGCTGTGCATTTATCATGTATGGCCTTCCTTATGTTGAGGTACATTCCCTCTATTCCTAGTTTGCAGAGAATTATTATGAATGGATGTTGAATTTTGTCAAATGCTTTTTCTGCGAATGATCTTGACTTTTATCCTTCATTTTGTTAATGTGATCCGCGACATTGATTGATCAGCAGATGTTGAACCATCCTTGAATCTTAGGGATAAATCCCACTTCATCCCTGTAGGATTCCTTAAATGTATTGTTGAATTCAGTTTGCTAATATTTTGCTGAAGATTTTTGCATCTGTGATCATTTGGGATACTGGCCTGTAATTTTCTTTTTTGATAGGATGTATTTGGGAGCACATTAAACATCTTATGAAATGGACTGGGGCTCTCCATTTGGAGCTGGCAAAGGTCAGGAAAAAAATGTATGCTAATTTGGTCAAATTTAAAACTTTTCTTTAAACCAAATAACAGCTGATAATTTCACTTTTCAGAATTAGAGTTCAGAATAATTATTTGATTTTATTAGGGTGTAGTTAGGTCCAGCCAGTGTTTCCATTTCAACTGAACAAGTGTTTTTAATTTAGTGTGTGATTTGGGGTACTTCAGAGCTCATGGAATGATCTAAATTACTAACTATTCATCTACTCCACATGACTTGTTTCTATAAAATTAATTATATCTATCCATATACATATTGAGCTGGAATTTGCCTCTATTAGATACAATTTTGAAAATGATCAGAAAGTTCGTTTGGCTTTTGTATCTCCCAATACTGGACTAGGCATGTTGAAAGAAAGTGATTTATTTTCTAATAGATGTGTTACTTGGATGTGGAAATGCACCATCTTATTTTTTCATTTTTTTCCAGACATTATTTTCTTTTTTATGACTATTAGGTTCTTTCTATTTGCTTAGTTGTGAATATAGGAAGAAGGTCAGTTCTTCATTTTCAAAAGAACTAAAGTAAAGAAAAAGAGGCTGTCTTTAATTGGACACCACAGCGCTAAATATGATCCTACTTACATGTCCATGCTTTAATAGACTGTTTACTATAAAAAAATGTGGGAAAACATAATCTTAATTCAAGCACAAAGATTTAAACTGCAAACTATAACAAAGCAAGATGTAGAATTGTTCATTTTGTTCACAGCTAGAAAACACTTTGGGAAGGCAGAATGAGTTGCAGATTTGCACGGGCTGTGGAGCCAGTGTCTTGGTTCAAATTCTGGATTTCTCTGTTACCACTCATGAGAGTTGCTTCATCTTTCTGTGTCTTAATGTTCCTCATTCACATAATGCAGTTGATATTAGGAGTGGCCTTGTAGAGCTCTTGTGCCTGATCGGAAACAAGTTCTCAGTAAATATGAACTATTGCTATGGACTTCAAGCCCTTCATCTTTCAGATGGGGAAACTGATCTAGTGGGATGAACAAACTTGGCAAAGCTAGGACTACAGTTCTCATTCTCTGATTTTCTTCCACCCAAAATGGCTGCTGAAGACTGTCAGACAAATCCTTTCCACTAAGGAAAATAAATTCTGCTTTTACTAAGGGAGAATTGTCTGATCTATAAATTAACATGGAGCATGTTAAATTTTGAGGCATCTGGAAATCTACAATAGACAAATATTTGAAATTGAAATATTTGTTTTGCACATGCATATTTCTGTTTGAAAATTTTAAAAATCAAAGCGAAAATCTGCTTAGGTTGATCATAGAGATTACACATAAGAGCATAAAGTATGCATTACAAAAAGAAGAAACTTTTATGTTTCCTGAAACTACTCCAGATACCATGGTATTTCTGTCAACAAAGTATCAAGTTCTAGATAAACAATTCCACCCAGACTTTTGGGACAATGCTATTTAATATCATTTTAATTTTTTTCACCATAAGCAATGCATTATGAAATATGGTTTCAAGTTTAAACTGAGATAAACCTTTTAATGATTAAGACACAAAAAATGATGTCAGACTATATATGTAGATAGTCATTTTTTAATTTGGAAAATAAAGACAGATAATTCTTCATGTTCAGTGAGGATTTGTACACCATTCTTTCTAAATACATTTCTTTAAGAAACAAGAGCATGCTACATGAATAGACCTTCCCATAGGGCCTCAATTTTAATTTTCCAGAGTTTGGAGAAGCAATATCCATCAAGTTCCCTCAACTGTTGAGAATAATGCTGTTTTTGTCACACACAAGGTCTATTTTGAGCTCAGACGTACACACTGACTTTAGACTGTAGGCTTGCAGACCTGTCAGCACAATGCCCCATTACAAATTGTCCCTTTAGCAAGATGACTTCATTTTAGCAGCCTGTTCTGGTTTCTACATCCTTCCAGGTTTCACAGTTCAGTGCAGTCAAACAAGGTGATGGCATTTTTAAGGCTCCAGATTTTATTGGTCTACGAATAAAGGTAGGTGGCCAGGTACTATTTCAGGGTTTCAGCTGGCAATATGGTACTAAATTTGAGTATACTGAGACTAAGAAGGTTGTGATTTTTTTTAAATACTGGAAACATAAATATTGGCATTTATGGAAATGGCTGCTACAGCAGGAAGTGATTTCCTATATCATTAGCTGAAATAAGATTATGGGAATGTCTAACTTTAATCTGAATGATCATTAAAACTTGGGACATATTATTTCTCAAGAAGAATTGGTTAGAATCCAACCAAACCCTATTTACATTTTGAGCCTTCTACTTATTGGATGCTAATAGAAACCCTATATTTTAATTATTTTACCTATTACTTGCCCATTTCTAATTTCCTATTGAGACATAATCATGTCTGAAACAGACACATATATGGCCCATAAACAGCCATGCCTACCTATTTTTTAAGTTATATATATTCTTTCCCAGGACTAAATTTTGCCCCCAAATGGGTCATGTATGTACAGGAGGAAAGAAAGACAGATAAAGGTGATAGTAGATTGAGATAAACTAATGAAGAGACACATGGCATCACAAGACATTAAAGGAACTCTCAGGTCTAGCAAGAGTATATGACCAAAGAGCAAACTTCAAGTTATAAAATAAATGAGTCATGGGATTGTAATGTACAGCATAGGGAATATAGTCAACAGTATTATAATAATTTTATATGGTGACAGATGGTAACTAGACTTATCGTGGGAATAATTTTGTAATGTGTAAAAATGCCGAATAAGTATGAAGTACACCTGTAACTAATAGAAAATTTTATTTCAATTGTGCTTCAATAAAACCATTATTTAGGTTTTTAAATCTTTCATTTCCTCCCTTAAAATAGAAGCGCTAGTAGCATGTACTCATAGGCTGGTGAGTACGAAATGAGACAATGCATGCCAAGAACTTAGCAAAGAACAATTAAGATTTATCTGTTCTTTCTCTGTGACAAATACTCTGCCAAATCCTTTTTGAATGTGCTATGCATTTTGCAAAATGATATCTAAATAAAAGAAATCATTAAATGTGTAATGTCTACATATATTATATACATATTTGAGAAGTATATGACTAACTAAATATGGAACGCTTCATGAATTTGCATATCATCCTTACACAGGGGCCACGTGAACCTTCTCTGTATGGTTCCAATTTTAGTCTATGGGTTGCTGGAGCCAGTAGGACTAACTGTAACTAAAAACTAAAGAAATGAATGTACAAAACTTGCTATTTTGTTTATTGTTTTTGGTGATTTTAGCTTTCTCATGTTAACTTTGATAATTAAACTTTCTTGTCTACTACTTTGTATAATTCTGTCCTTTTGTTAACTGAATTCAGTGACACACATTCTCTATGGAAATGCATTCTCCAAAGCAGAATTGGTCCAAAGTATCTATAGCAAGATCATTCATACTTTGTATCCAGTTTTGTCCTATGAGGGTATGCAGCAGTCCAAGTGTTGCTTTTGTTTCACAGACCATTTAGAACAATTCAAAACCAATGAAATACCAACAGTTTTAAAATATGCTATTAGTTGGGTGCCTGGGTGGCTCAGTGGGTTAAAACCTCTGCCTTCAGCTCAGGTCATGCTCGTGGGGTCTTGGGATCGAGCCCCGTGTCAGGCTCTCTGCTCTGCAGGGAGCCTGCTTCCTCCTCTCTCTCTGTGCCTGCCTCTCTGCCTACTTGTGATCTCTGTCAAATAAATAAATAAAATCTTTAAAAAAACAAAATAAAATAGGCTATTAGTAATGTAAAAATCAAACTACCTGCAAGTGAAAAATTAGCTCACTCTCAATGAGTTAGCAAGAAAGAAATTTTGGAGATCTCACAACTTTGCTTCGATAATTGAAAAATACAGCAGAATTAGAATCCAGGTAATTTTTTTTTCTTTAATAGAAGTTTTAGGATATTAAGCTCAATAGATAGGAGAACCAGGGGCTCTAAATATTCTTAAAACGTTGGCATTCATTTAAAGTAGGGTTAATTCAGGAGATATTTACTGGCGCAATAAACACTGATGTTCTCTGGGGTTCCAGTTATTCTATTTTTTTTTTTTTTAAGATTTTATTTATTTATTTGAGAGAGAGAGAGAGAGAGAGAGCACGCAGAGAGGGAGAGGGAAAGGTAGAAGCAGACTCCCTGCTGAGCAGAAGGCCTGATGCAGGGCTAGATCCCAGGACCTGAGATCATGACCTGAGCTAAAGGTAGATGCTTAACTGACTGAGCCACCCAGGCACCCCTCTGGTCATTCTTCTTATTCTAAACCTACTTGTAGGCTAACAGAGCCTGATTTCCTGGTTTTATAAATAATTCGTAAATCTATAACCTTAATTTTTTACCTGCAGTTCAGTTTCTCTTCTGTACTTTTTATCTAATAACCTACTCTATCAAGAGTTTCATTCTTTTTAAGGAAGAAGTTTTCTGGATACCATAGTTCCTATTAAGAATCAGAAATCTTGTCATTTAAATCTTTCCTCGGTGTCAGAAGAGACATCTGATCAAAAACAATTTGTTTTTAAAGTTTAAATCTAAATGAAGACTAGCTTTTTTAATGCTTCGTTAGAAAAGCACAAAATAGAGAATAACCCAATATTTTGTTGTATTTTCACTTTCATTGGAAATAAAGTTATCCTAATTTCAAATAACAAATAAATCCTAGCACAATTAAATAATATTATGACACTAAATTTATAAAACCATAGAGTAAAACTAATATGGAAGAAGTTGCCAATAAAGATTCTGATTTGATTCTGATAGAGATATTTTTCTGGATAATATCTATAGGTAAGCAGTGATTTCTTATATTAGTAAATTCAATATTTAATTCATTCAGCTAACATATTGTGTGAACCAATAGGGAGTAATTTGTTGAATACATAATTCAATAAACAAATGCTTAATTTGAAATGGTAGGAACACAGAGAGGAATAAGTAGTATAGTTTAAGAAAGAGGAAGGTTATAACATCATACAATTATTGTCTTAACCTTGACCCTAAGTTTGATCTTTTCTTTAATCTGTTTCTCTAACTGCTCCCTGGAAACAGAGACCCAGTTTGGGGACTCTGAAGCCTTAGAAGGGGATAGAACCACTTTATAGAAATAGCCTGGTTCTCAGTATGTGTGAGTGGAGTAGTGTTTCTTGGGGGGGAATCCATGGTCAACTGTGAGATGAATGAGAAAGAAACATGAATTACAATTAACCACTAGGATATTGGGTGAGCTGGATGCTACATCCATCCTAACTAGGCTCATACAGTTACCTCAAAGGGTTGAGGTTAAGAGTAAATAAATATATTTAATGTACCAGCACAGGTGCTCATGCAGTGTAAATACAATATCGAAAAATCCCCTTTACTTTCTATATCTTAGTGACACCTGTAAATCTGAAGTATATTGGACAATTTTTACTTATAATAATAAATAGCATTATTTATTTTGTGCCAGACACTGAACCAAGCACGAATGGATGTATTTATTTCTCTAGCATTGTGAAATGGTAACTGTCATCCTCTCCTTTTTACTAATGAAGAAATGGGACATGTACTGTAAAAAACAGTACATGCAATAGTTATTAAAATCAAGACCAGTGAAGACAACCAAAAATATGGTTATAATTTATTAGAACAATATAAATTACCCAACTAATTAGAGAAATGCTTCTCTGAAATGATTCAACTCAAATCAGTCTTTAGACATAAAAGTCACAATAAGTCAGTTTCTCGTATGTAATTATAATGAAAAAGTAGATCATTTCCTTAATGACCAGCGAAAATCACAAAATACCATGTCAACAAATACAAATAAAAAAATTAGAAATGTATCAAGTGAGATAGTATATGTTAAATTATTACATTATACTCAAGCTTCTGGGGAAAGTGCATTTATTGGGAAGTATGTGATGAAATCAGCAAAATACACTTTAGGAATCAACCTAGCTTCTCACTAACGCAGTTGTAAAATTTGAATTCTTTCTTGTGAAAGCTTCTTACAACAATGATGTACTATCAAATAAGGAATGATTCTGCTTGTTAGAGAAGACAGTCTTTTTTAATAAGCTTATTTATCAAATATCAGGAATAATAGGTCCAACTTTATTAATTTTAATTTTTGTAAAGATTTATTTATTTGGGAGAGAGAGAGATCAGAGGGAGAGGTAGAAGGAGAGTGAGAGAGAGCCTCAAACAGACTCCTCATTGAGGATGGCGTCCCACTCAAGGATTGATCTCATGACCCTGAGGTCATGACCTGAGCAGAAAACAAATGGGACACTTAATCGACTGTGACACACACGTGCCCTTATAATTTTAATATTTTAAAAAAATATGAGAAATAATAAGTTATAGAAATAATATAGTTATAGTATAATAATAAGTATTATAACTATATATAGTTATATATAGTTATAAGGCTTCACTCTCTGTAGTATTCTCAAACATAAACACAATTAGAAAAGAACCTATAACAGGCTTTCATTTGCATTTTATTTGTTTAAAGACATACACTATGCTAATTTTGTTAATGCTATTCTTGGGAGCTAGTTAAAAGGCTGTGTTTTTTTTCTTTTCTTCCCCTGATATTATTTTAAAAAGAAGTAAGGCTATTGAAAAGAGGCCATAGAAAGGCAGGAGATATGGTTTTTTTTAAATGTTTGTCTTTAAGTTCTAGATCAATAAATTTATTCCGTCAAACATTTTAAAAAGAGTTTTTATTTTTATAATTTTTAAGTGTATCAGTAATAAATAATGAATAACTTCCAATTGCAAAACATACATGTTTTTTAGTTACTTATTCACCCACCCTACCATTCATTCATTCAAAAAAATGTTATTTAGTACCCACTACTCAGTGCTAGATACTGTTCTGGTCACTGATATAATGAGTTAGGGAGGTATCTAGAAACAGATGATTTACTAGTGTTTAATGACTAACAATATAATTGTACATTAATTATGTGACTATATAGCAAATGTATTTAATATAATTTTATTTTATTTTATTTTTTATAAACATATAATATATTTTTATCCCCAGGGGTACAGGTCTGTGATTCGCCAGGTTTACACACTTCACAGCACTCACCATAATATAATTTTTAATGTAATATTTTTAAAGGAAAAACGGCTACTCTCCAGTTTCTTCAATGTCAGAAGTGTGTCTTACTAAGATTTATATCTGTTGAGCCAAGCAGAATAGCAGATACTATAATAAGCAGATACTCAGTAACAAACAAATGAGTCAGTGAATCAATATGAAAGAATGAACGTTAAGACTAGTTCCACACTAATGGAGCTTCCAGAAATTTACATGAGACGATAGTATTCTTTTTAGTATAAAAAACTGTATTTCCTTCTCAAACTAAGGGAAGACACAATCCTATTCCTTATTGATATCTGTTAAAACTATGGTCTTTTCTAGTATTTATTTATATAGGTTCACCTTCCAAATGTGCTGTTTGGTGTCACATGGGAAACATTTATCTTCACGAGCTTCTAAATCTCTCTTATATGATTCATACTGAATTTCAGTCCAACCACCTTTAAAAAAATAAAAACAAACATTCCCTAAGGTGCTCGAGCTCATGAGTTCCAATATACCATATAAACTGTAATAAACCATATGCTGCAGCAGTCTAGAATAAATAGCCCTTTTAAAAAACCGAGCTGCCAACAAAATTGAGATTCCATTTTTAAATGATTTTCTGCAAAGTAAACATTTTTCAAGCTTGATCGTTGTGTCATTTTTCACTGGCCTTTTTCAAGCTAGAAACAATCTGCACATGTTCTTTTAGTAAAGAAGGGTTTAATACACCACTGTGTCACCAATCCCAGTGAGCTAATTTGTTCTAAAGACAACATTACTACATCAATACAACGCAGCTTAACCTTCAACTCACCTTATTCTGTTTGCTTTCCACATCCCAGCTGAGGCTCTCAGCCAAAATGTTCCCTCCATTCTGGGTTCATTTCTCTCTAGGTGGAAAGTATGTGCATATAAACTATGCTGCTTTTGTATATCAGAGAAAAGGCAACATTCACACTATCCAAAAATCACACACACATACATGCACACACATGTACACACACTCCTTGTTCCCTATCTTATAAAAAATGGAATCCCTTCAGGGAGGCAGAATGCTTAAGACAGGGTTCCATCTTCAAGCAAAGTCCCCAAAGAGAA